TTTTATTTCGCTATTATTACATAAACAATGTTAATTAGATGTCGCTTATTGGTTGTGATATTAGACAATGTGCCTATGCTGGATTTCGCTACGGGCCAGAACATAATCAAACCTTTGAGATGATTTATAAACAATTTTCAATTTGGGTTTTCAAATTGATATGATATGTCTTATTGAATAACTTATTTTTGGCGATGATCTCCCAAACAATGATCGGCTTTCGCTAAGTAATGTAGAAGTAAAAAAAGGTTTATGATAGCGATCTTGAAGTGAACATGAAGCAAACTACTGTAGTTGCTTTAGGTCGCCCTTACTAGCTCATCGCCCCTAACAGATGAAATGTTTGGGATGATGGTGCTCATTAGCTATTGCCAAATAAGGCATTAGTTAGGGTAAACAGCAGCAACGTGAATTCATTCGCTCGATTTACACGTTGAGTGAAGAATATGCTATCTCTTGATAGATTGGAGTGCTTTATATTCGATATTAATATGATGCGACCTGATATTATTATAATTGTTAAAGCTTATCATAACAACGCAAGCAATTAAATCAAATTCGAGGTATTGTCTATATTTTTCTTTGATTTATTACGTCAGGCAGGTGATTGATTCATGTGATAGTGAATTCTAACTTCAGTGATGAACCCCTTATTTGATACTTCTATTTTTGGCGGTGATCTTCAAACAACGAGCAGCTTCGCAAAAAATCTCGCCAAGGAAAAGCTGAAAGGTGGATATCGTCTATGACAATGAAACTTGAAGTGAACATTAAATTACTTGGTTCACTTTAGCGTTAGACCGTAAATTATAAAAAACAGTATTGATCGAAGTATATAAAGAGTCGAACAACGGTGGGAGGTGGGCGGGGGGATATGCCTAGGCAGAGGCCAAGATATAGACCTAGATATAGATCGAGAAAGAGATGTATAGATAGAGATCGAGATCGAGATCTAGACCTAAGTAAGATATATATACCTATAACTATATATATAAAATTGCGAGAAGGTGATCAGCAAGAAATTAACCATAACTTTGAAATCCAAGTTAGTCTGAATAACAAAAATGGAATGGGAAGGAGGCACGAAGCAAATAATTATGCAAGATCACGAGGCACGGCAAATCTGAAAAGGAGGTTAAATTTGTCAATTTGCATAAAATCAGCCAATAGTTTCTACTTGTGAATTTGGACGATATGACGACGAAATGACATTCTCGGTCTTCTCTACTTTTAAATACATTGCCAATGGCTTTCTTTTGTCGTCTGACGAGTAATAATGGAATAGATGCATATCTAAAAGATATGTCACCAGAAGAATTCTGGTTCAAACTTGCATTGGCCGTTATATTGGTCCTTGTAGGTGGATTGTTTGCTGGTAAGAAACGTTTGCCAGATTATTGAACGGGCAAATGGGATGGAAATTTAATTGAATCTATCACTTCGTCATTCGTATAGGCTTAACACTTGGCTTAGTACGTAACGGCATGCCGATAGTCTCACGACCCGATCAATTTCGCAAAATTGATATATCGTTTAATCTTGTTGTTTTTCGCAGATGAGCTTGGATGGAACAAATCTTCATATATTGGCCACTTCTGGTGATCCTAAACAGAGGTAATCCGAGTTTAGAATCGAAAACTGGCGCTAGAACTTTAAACATGTTGTATCGACATACTATTTCGTTGTTTAACAGAAAGTACGCCGCACGCATTCAACCAATTCGCGAAAATGGACACCTGCTGCTCGTTACACTTCTCTTGGCCAATGTCATTGTCAATGAAACATTGCCCATTATAATGGATGATTTAATCGGCGAAGGTTTAATTGCAATTCTGATATCGAGTGCTCTTATTGTCATATTTGGAGAAATCATACCGCAAAGCATATGTTCTAGATTTGGGCTAGCTGTTGGTGCATTTTTTGCTTGGTATGTATGGTGGTCATCGAGTGCTTGGCTTTGCCGTCAGCTGTAAAACGTCATCGTGTATTAACAATAAGGTGATTTGTTTGTAATAGGCCTGTTAAAATCTTTATTTGGATATGTGTAAGTTTTCTGTTGAAAGTATAATTCTCTTATTTATCCTTTTGCTAACCGAACCATTTTAAATAGTTTCCTATTGCATATCCCATAGCCTGTTTATTGGACTATATGCTGGGAAAAAGTCACGGTTTAATATATAAGCGTGCAGGCATGAATCAGATCTGCGACTTTATTGCATGTGGTGTTTGTTGATAATGTAACTGACCATTTCATCTCAAACAAAATAGAACTCAAAGAGTTAATTCAATATCACGAGACGTCAACTGACCGTGGAGGCGATCTTGTGTCGGACACGGTGACAATAATACAAGGGGCACTTGACTTGCAGGAGAAGACGGTCGAATCTGCAATGACACCAATGTCAGAAACATTCATGATGCCATATGATGCCATCATTGACAGGAAAACTATGGAGCAGATTGCAAAAGAAGGACATTCAAGGATCCCCGTATATAGAGAAACGAGGGAAAACATTATTGGACTCTTGTTGGTAAAGGTAACGTATCCATGGTACAACACTCGCGTGACATGGCAACAAAAGTCGTATATAGTCAATCTTACTCTCCGTGATGCGTCTGTTTTTTGTTTGTTTTTTTTTTTTTTTTAGTCTTTTCTGCTTTACAATCCTGATGAAGGCAAGCCTCTTTATAAATTTGAAATATATCCAGTTCCACATGTGAACGCTGACGTTCCGTCGTTCGACATGCTAAATACATTCCAAGAAGGACGGAGTCACATGGCGATCGTCACATCCACTGACGATGGTAAACCCATTGGCATTATTACACTTGAAGACGTGTTGGAAGAATTAATTCAGGAGGAAATATACGATGAAACGGATGTACGCGCTGGGCTGGCAGTTCCGCTGGCTAGCGGTGACCAAGTTATTCTGGCATCAAAGAGAGGGAGGGCATTGGCTGACCACCATATTGTAGTAACGACGTGCAACGGATCTAACGGACCCAGAAAAAATAGGTTCAAGAGTAGACCGGTACCTCCCAGATCAAGGACAGATCCTGGGTATGCTGGCAGCAACGGAAATCTGCCGTCAGCGCAGCTGGAGCAAGCAATGCTACCAACTAGCCCGGGAACGCTAATCGATTGGGGCAAGGGTCAGGAATATCACGCGGGAGAAGATGTTGCAAGCGAGCCAGATTTACTTTATTAAAAAAAAAGTTAAAAGCCAAAAAATATCAAATTTTACATTTGAACGATACATTTTCGATTTGGGTTTTGGTTAGGGTTGTGGTAGTAAATTATGTATGGGGCTTGTTTCAAGGTATTTGAATGATATTGTTCGGTATTAAAAAATGTAGATTGATAAGACGGGTAATCCAATACAATAAAACACCCCTTGTAAACGGTTTCCTTCACCCGCTTGGACATTCCCCTAATTCTTCATGTGGTTTGATTATAGCGACAGGGATCTTTATGTGTCTTGATACATAATCGCTTGTCGAGCTCAGTACAATCTACGTTCGATAGCAGTATTATGTCAATGTTAGCGCGATGTCGACGTGCAATCTGCGAGTATAAATAGCAAGTAGTATTCACCTTTTTCAGACCATCCAAACCTCGACTTCCAAGAACTAGCAAGTTGGTATCCGGATGTTCAACCGTTATGTAATGCGTCAGGTTTTCGCCTACAGTGCCATATCCTTCAGACTGGGCAAATGTATAGTTCACCCTTGGCTATAAGAAAAAGCATGATTGAGAATAGAAATTATCGCAACTTGAATTATAGCGATTCTCTTTTTATCACTCACGGTCAATGTTCTGAACTTTTCCAAATATTTTTGCAATTCTGCAATTGTTTGCTTTGCATCAAGCCGAATATCAAGATTGTTGGCTTTATCAAGACTTGATCTATTGAATACGAGAGAGAGTATTAGTCACAAGGTTTCGGTAACTATTTACTAAGCGATAATAGATGTGAGCTGGAAAATCTACTAATTACAGACTGCATTATTTGTTTTCCCCGTTTTAGCGAGCGTTCAAAAAGCCACTTACAGAAATGGAATGTTCGTGCTTGGATTGAGGGCGGTGATGTAAACAACGTTCAATGTAAATGGACACGAAAGACGTGAGCAGAGATCAAATGCAAAATCGATTGCATGGTGAGATATTGGAGAGTCCTCGGCTGCTACGACGACTTTGTATGGGTTGCTACACAGTGGGTGAGGAAAGATTATTAGATAAAGCTGGAAGGGACAAGCACTAGAGCGAGTGTATTGCAAAATGCGGGTAACTGTTTACGAGAAGGGTAGTGAGGTAAAAGGGCTTGATTCTCGTATAAGCAAGTATAATTTACAATACATTATTTATATTACAATAGATATGTATAATAATAGACAGAATTGACAATTACCCCCCACTTTCAATTTAGCCTAACGATGTTTAATTTAATGATCAACCTTCTGTTCATCATGAAGTTTAATACGTACTTTTGTTCTTGCATTGGGTTAAAATACGAGATTGAAAAGCCACGAAATTTTAATTGCCCAAAAAGAAGCGCCTTTCCAAAGAAACGTGATCGTGGGTGGTCACATGCACCATAAATAGTTCAAAACTATATAATTATTTGTTAGTCATTATGGATGGTAAGTTTGAGTTTAATAAATTGTATAGACAAAATTCTTTGGCTTACGATGTTTATTAATATCAAGAGAGACGCGAAAGTAAACTATATGCACCCTTACCGAGCTACATAAAACCCTCTCAGACTAGTAATGAGGCATGTCATCGTCATTTGCTGTCTTTTCTTTTTTTTTACTCGTACTAATTTGATCATTCTCTATACATAGCAATCAAATCAACCAGCCCTCCCAGATATCATATTTGGACCTAATCCAACCAAGGATGCCTTGAAAGCATATTCAAAACGAATAAAAAACAAAGTCGTATTGCTAGATAATCCATTGAAAAGTTCGGATCAGACAAAAAAAAAGAAAGAGTTAAAGAAGAAGAAGCGGAAAAAAGGAGTAACTGCGAAAGAAAAGAGAGCACTAGGACTTTATGATATTCCAAAAAAGTGTTGGAGGTACAGTTTGTGTGGTTAGTGTCTTTACGGGAAATGAACACCTCTTTATATTTGGATGATTTGTGTAGATACGAGCTGTTTGTGCCATTGCACGAGCTATGGACGCAATATATAAACGAGTTGTATGGAACATCGAATTCGTTTGGGTTTGCGCAAAAACTACTGAAAGCTGATTTGCATGGAGCTATCATGACAGGTGAAAATCGAATAATAAGGCTTTTGTATTTACGGTGTTGGCTCACTCTACTTAAAAGGTCGTTCTAACCAATAGACTTTTTGTTTATAGTCTCTAAATCAAAGTGTGCATCGTACATTGGCGTTTCTGGCATAATGATTCAGGAGACAGAGAACATGTTCAAGATAATAACTTCTTCTGACGAGCTTAAAAATATTCCCAAGGGCCACAGTGTATTTACAGTCAACATACGCGATACTGTATTTAGCATTTACGGAGATCAATTCAGATGCAGAGCAGCTCTCAGAGCAACGAAGAAATTTAAAAATAAACCGAGTATTGATTTGTGAGGGACGATTACTGGAAGTTATCGTTACATTATATTGTAACTGGGTTAATTATAGATTAATAGAATACATTGGCTAGAAAGTTTCATTAAATAGACACTTTTACAAGCGTTGTTTATCTATCCTCGCTGTTATCGATACTACCATTTGGTCGTTGGAATTTGATACTAAGACTATTTACACAGTGGCGTTCATCTGCCGGAGTAAAATTGTGTCCTTCCCCCTATAAAAAGAACAAGCCAGAAACGGGATTAACAGACATGAGAAAGACGTCTGCTTAATTCATTGCTGGTTACCTGAAAAACATGTCCAAGATGACTATCACAATTAGAGCAAGTAATCTCAGTTCTAACTCTCCCGTGGGATGTATCCACGTTACGATTCACAGCTCCTGCCAAATTGTGAAAGAACCGATCATGGCATGAAGAACGTCAACCTCGATGGTGGGGTATGTTTCAAAAACATTCATTAACTAACCTGGAACAGAGTCGAAAAATGCGGGCCATCCACATCCTGAACTGAATTTATGAGATGATTCATATAGCTTACTATGACAAGCAGCACACAGATACACTCCTATGATATAATTCGAATACATTTTAACCCAGATTACGACATTGTCATAGCTCTTCCATCATAAACCTACTTGTCATTACTAACCGGTCTCTTTGTGTTCATTGTACTGTCCAGTCCCTCTGATTTCGGTTCCCTTCTCGCGGAGTATGTGATATCGTTGGGGTGACAATGTCTTGCGCCAATCTTCATCTGTCTTTTTGGCGGACATTGTTGACTCTTCAAGCGTACCAGATGTTATTGAGAATGTCCGACGACGCCAAGTCTGATTCCGCGAAACAAAATCACGTCCAAGATAATTCCGTAAAATTATAGACGTAAGAGTGGATCGGGAGACTGCGCGATGATACATTTGATATGCTCTCAAGTGAATGCTGTGTTACTCTTTCGCCTTTTAAGGCTTTCGAACCAATGAACATCACCCTTGACTGCACCATTGTACT